TATTTATCTACATTGGCTCTTGAATGTCCGTTCACCTCTAAAACTGGAGTGCAAAGAACTCTTGTACAATACAGTTCTCAAACCAATTCGGGCATATGGATCTGAACTATGGGGAAACGCTTCCACACAGGGAACCCAGGTACATACGGAGTGAAAATATCCGGAAAGATTTACATGTGAGATCTGTTAAAGATGAAATCGCCAAGGTGAAAGCAAAGTACCAGCTTAAGCTTCGGTACCATCCAAATAGACTTGCGCAGAATTTGATTTGGCAGGCTAGCCAACACGACTCCGGCGAAGAGACCTCCCCACCCAGCAACAACAGTTAGGGCCATAATTCAAATTTTTAATTGCAATTAATTAAATAAGTATATTAGATTAAGATTTGACTACTTATCGTAAGTCTCCGAGAGAGAAGTTCGATAAATGAAGAAAACTTAAAAAAAAATAGTTATGTGGTTCTTATTTGAAACGAGAATTGCGTCAATTATAGTATGTATTTTATTTTCAACTTTCGTTCAAATCACACAATAAGACTTAATTCAGCAAAATGTGATGTTCGAAAAATGTAATTTTCATTTTGAGCCTAGGGGGCCTCTTTATTGCTAAGTTATTTTGGATGCTACGTGTGAATGCTGGTGTTTTAAGTATAACATTTAGTAATTTGATAATTCAATAATATTTACATAGGATATGCAAAATATTTTTGATGCATATTTGTGTGAATGTACTATATGTAACACACAGGAAGCGTGGCAGACCCCACAAAGTGTATATATTCTTGAACAGGATGACAAAACGAGTCGATATAGCCACGTCTGTCTGTCTGTCCGTCTGTATGAACGCAAGGATCTAAGAAAGTGTAAGAGCTAGAATGACCTGGTATCCAGATTCTCTTAAGTCCGAGAAAGACGAGTTTGTCTTTTTTTTCTAATGCAAAAATATCTTTGTTCGTGTTTTTAATCAAAGCTCCTGGAAAACAAACTCCTGTGGCAGAATTGGTTTTAGGGCGAAACTTGAGCGGAAGAGAGTTCTGGGGCACCCCTGTATATCTTAAATCCACTGATAATACACAGTGTAACCCAGACAAATAAATACGCACAATACAATGCAACATCCAAAATGTATTTTAGGCATGATAGTTTTTAGACAAATATGAAATTTAGTTAAAAGCATTATTTAATTTGGCTAACAGCATGAAAAAATTCAATATTAAATTTTTTAACACACATTTTTAGTTAAATTATAGCGACAGTAACGTACAGAAATATTAATAAGTGATGTGTTTTGTGAAAAATTTGTATTTTATGGTTATGCCAAGTATATATTTACATTTTATAATTTTAGGTGTTCGAGTTACGCGTTAATTGTTCTACAATAGATAAATAAATTTACACTATTAAGGTATGATATTAAACAGTTAATTCCACTTATTACATTATGAAAACTAAAAAGGAATTATTAATCTAATAATGAGATTTGATTCATATTAGTAATATTTATATTTAAACAAGTATAAACACACGTTTGTCTAAGATTAGTACCATTAATCAATAAAATTCGCTTTGTTATATTCATATTACAATGAGCATCATTATTTAAAGTGATTTCAATGAAAACGTTTTATTGATTAAAGCTACTAACACCAGATTTATTCAACATTGGAGTACTCTTCAAATTTCGTTTTAAACCCGAGCTGTATCTAAGGAACAAACAAACAACTTATAAATTTCTTTACAAATATTTCCTGGACAAATATATTGTTTATTACAAGATAAAATTGTATGCTTTTAACCTTTGACAATTTGTACACAAAAACTTTTCCACATAATTTCGACATACGTAACACCAATTTAGAAGGTAAATTCTAACTGAACGTACTTACTGACACAAAATTTTAATTTTTGCTATTACTATACTATTACTTGTTTTGTGCCTATACTACATACTATATTTTGTTGAATTTGAATGCAAGGACACGTGGTAGACCTCCCGTAGAGATATAACACGATTCTAGTATTACATATAAATCATTTTACGTGTGGCTTAGTTTCCCCAATAGGACATACTAAGACTAAATGAGAAGTTAATTTTTTTTAAATTACTAAATTTATATCAGAACTATGTATGAAAGGGATTTCCAGACCTCATGCTATAGGTATGTACGAGTATATAATCAGCATGATGAAAAAATTTATATAGATGCATAGACATCGAGATCATTTTTTATAAAAGCTTGGGACAGAAACCTTTTTTATACACCAATAGACCAACTTGTTTTTAGACCTTATATGGTCTTATTACTACTTGTATATGTAGTTGCAATAAAAGCGATAGGTACGAAATCGCTCCTAATTACATAACATTTTCATTGAATTTATTTTTGTTAAAGGTCTAAAATATTTGACATTTTAATTGTGCTTTCAAAGACTGTTAATGAGTACAAATTGTGATATTTTGTATATTGTAGTATTTTAAATTTTATGTATTTACAATGATTTTTTAGATTCATTTTTATAAGTTAAATATAAAGGCAGCCATAGTCACAAATGTCACATTTACCCAGTGTTTCCCAACAGCTGTTGAACGCCACCATGGCATATGAATCGGTAAAAGTGATTTGAATGTTCTAAGGCTTTATAACAATAAAGTCAATCAAAAAGCGGCCAAAATCTTCTGTGTAATTAATTGAAATGTAATTTATATCTCAAAATCAGCGACTCATCGCGCTTTGGTGAAACAATTGCGTCTGGTTCTTGCTTCATTCAGCAGAAGTTGACTGATAACCAAAAATCGGTAAACACTTGTGACTGATTTTATGACAAAAAATAGCACTTCAACAATCTACCCCTCCGCATATTGCATGACTTGGCACCATGCGGCTTTTAGTGATCTGACACAGTCGCAGTGCGCAGAGTCCACACGATTCAGGAACCAGGATATTGAGAGAGGCGGTCACTGCGTTTTAAATTTATTATGCTAAACATACGTATACAAAAACCATGTACACTGACACCTTTTAGTGAAGGCTATGGAAATGGAGAATTTGTATTAATGTTTTGATGCTCATTCTTATATTTCTCGATATTTACGTTCATACAAATAAAAAATGCCAGCTGAAATTTTAAACCTTTGAATTAACCGCCTTAATTGATTTTCTGTTATACTTGATACACTTCACAATGGGCATTGATGCTTCTCATCTCACAAAAACAGTAACCATAGTGGAAATACTTTGCATTCGTGACTATTATTTATACTGAGTTTTAATAAGACTCATATAAATATTTAGATATGATATACCTTTTAGTAAAAATAATAGAAGAGCCAAAGTAGAAATATAGCTGCCATTTTAGGTGTCTCCTTTATCTGATAATTTTTATTGGATCTTACTTAAATATTGATATCATACTATATAAATACGGGTCTGTTCAAAAATTAATAATTCTCAAAGTTAACATGCATTCGAATTATACGCATGGAAAATGATACTAAAAAGGTTATATTAATATTAATAGCACTTTACTGGCATTATATGTTCTGTTTACATGGTCATCTCGCCTGTACCGGAAATTAAAGGAACTGATCAGAATAATGTACTACAATAACGTCGTTGAGTCCTTATAAGATGCTGTGACTGGTTTTTAGTATTACCAATAACTTCAACAATTATTTTAAATATTTTAGAATGCCGCCTCAAACCATAATTCAAATTTTAAATGAGTGATGCAAGCATATTGCATTGAATAACAATGTCTGGACAAATTATAACACAAGAAGAAAAATTGGAAACAATTTTTCATTCTGATATCATTCCGAATTCAGCATGGCAGACCTTCAAGGGTTTGAAATCTTAATAATTACATTTGCATGAGTTTCGAGATAAAATTTTTGAAAATCTTCAAAAGCAGGTAAGTAGATCTGCTTGAAAGTTTCTAAAACACAACTATCAGAACAATATTGGTAGTTCCAGTACTAAAATCTGTTAGATAAGCTATGATTCAATGATAATAAAAAAAAGGATAAAAGTTGCTGTTCTCATCTGTCCGCTTGTAATAAATTTTATTCAAATTATTATTAATACCAAACTATGAATTTTTGAAAATTGTAGAAGCAGAAATTTATCACCTATTTCTTTATTTTAGAAGATAGATTTTGTCTTTTTAAATTTCGATTTTTTATTTTTGTATTTATAATTATCTGTTTTACTTATTTTTCTGGTTGCAGGTTAACGCGTCCGCACAAATAAATTTAGAATTACATAAATGCCATTCCATTGTAATATAAATTTGTACAGGTATTGTTAAAAAGGGGACAAGCACTTGATGGATTCAAAATTATAAGTGATAGTATTTTAAGGATAAACTTACAACAGATACCACTGAACGAGCGTAGAATTTCAGATCAACAAGTTACAAGGCAATAAAATGGTAACAATTTCAGTTTAAGTACTGCAACTTTGAATTTATCAAAAAATTTAATTAATCATATAATTTTCATAACCCATAAGCTTACTAATCAAAATTTGTATTTGCCAGAAAAGGCATTACTATATCGTATTTTACATAGCTGCACAACGACGTGTTGAATAAAAAAAAGCAAAATCTTCGTGGTTGACTATTTTATCTAGGGCATCAACTTATTTTTGTTAGAAAAACGGGACTGTGGACCCTTAAGGTACGCAATTATATTTATTTTGATTTCCCCTACTCTAAAAATGATTGAATTTAAATAGAATATTACTTCATGAATGAAATATATATACAAAATAATTCTGACAGTAATAATGTAAATACTTTTAATAAAATGTTGTTCTTTCATACTATTATTGTTTATATAATTCCTTTCAATATATTACCTTATTCGATTTTTAGCACAAATAAATATTCAAATCTAATTATGTGCACATACACTTTCGGAAATAATTAAAATTTTTAATTTTATATTTCTATAATTATTGATACTTGTTGATAGATTTATTTACTTTTAACGAAACATTGAAATTTACATGCATGATGCATGCACAAAATCATCTTAATTAGTGAACTATTTTATAAATCACAATAATTGGCGGTAACTGTAAATATAAAACGGTTAATCAAGGTGTCCAAGTTAATCAACGTGTCAAAATATGGTAGCATAGTTTTGTTTTTGCTGTACATTTTAAATCGTTTGCTCTGGCTGTCGCTCTTTAAATTTCAACGTTTCTTCAAAAATTAGGGACTTGAGAGCATCTCGCGATATATCATCGTTTTCCATATTGATGCGGAATGGTACTTCGGCAACGGGCTGAAAAAAAATATGTATAGAATATTACAATCACATAAATATACATAACATATACACGTATATTTTAGTTCTGTGCTTTTTATATCCTGTACCGAAAGGGTTAAATGGTAAAGATAGAATAAACAAACTTCGTACCCAGATTCTCCTAAGTGCGAGAAAGGACAAGTTTGTGTTTTTTTCTGATGCATTCTGATTTTTTCATTTTAAGTGACAGGTAGAGGGTATTTAAGAAGCGAGCCTTACGCTTCACTTTAGCACTTCTTTCTTGTTTTTATTATACCCTGTACCCAAAGGGTACACAAGTTTTTGGCGAATGTATGTAACAGGCAGAATAAGGCGTGGTAGACCCCACACAGTATATACATATATTATTAATCAGGATGACAAGACGAGTCGATATAGCCATGTCCGTCTGTCCGTCCGGTCTGTCTGTACGAATGCAAGGATCTCAGAAAGTATAAGAGCTAGAATAACCAAACTTGGTATACAGATTCGCCTAAGTCCGAGAAAGTATGGGCCTGAGTTTTTTTTCGATGCACCCCCCACTATTGTTGTGATCCGCCTAAAAAAGTTAGTATCGAAGCAACTGAATCCAAATTTTTTCTGGTTATTCTCTCAATATATCTTAACCAATCCATGTACAAAACAAAACATAATCATGTAAAATCTTAGCATAGAAAAAATGAAATCCAAAACAACTAGTATGAACTCAATTTTGCGTATTTTGAAACTTTCGCACGACGCTTATCAGAATCCAAGGAAACTTTTTTTTTCTACTTTGTCAGTTTTAATTACGCTTTTAATTATATGTGGCATACCTTCGACTAAATTTTCTTTAATTTCCTTTGTCACTCTTAAAACCACTTCGCATCATATTGCCGAGAAGTATATTGTTCTACTTGGGACTTCTGTGCAATCCTTCAGCGCCAGGTTGTATTTTAAATGAACGGTATAACCGCATATTTTCAGAGCAGATCTCCAAATTAATTTTCTTTAAAAATTTTAATATGAATATGAATGGAAAACATTTTTATTAAAAATCGATGTATCGATGTTAAGTTTTTCGATTTTCGTTTCCGATATATAACATTGATGTTCATTTCGGATTTACATCAATACTTATGATGCAAAGGATGAAAAAAGACAAGAATTTGAGCCCTAATGATGCTGCCGGCAAGCCAGTTAGCCAATGGATTGCATATCGAGCACTTAAGCGCACAACGTAAATCTCAGAATTGAGAAAGAAGAAACCGGCCTTAAGACGAAAGAACATCAAAGCTCGATTAAAATTTGCAAAGGCTCACAAAAACTGTACTGTGAATGACTGGAAAAAAGTTATATTGCCGGGCGAATCCAAATTTAATCGATACAAATCGGACGCGAAACAATATTGTTGGAGAAAGCCCGGAGAGTCGATGCAAAAAGTTCACGTCCAGGATACAGTGAAACACTCGGACATGACCTGGTCTGAGGCTGTTTTACTTAGTGGAGTCTTGATCCAATAAAAATTGATGAAATTATGAAAAAAGAAGACTATTTAAAAACTTTGCAGACCCAACATTGCGACTTTGGTGACAAATACGCGTATTCTGAAAATGAGACCACATTACAATATTGTTGGAGAAAGCCCGGAGAGTCGATGCAAAAAGCCCACGTCCAGGATACAGTGAAACACTCGGAAATGACATGGTCTGGGGCTGTTTTACTTAGTGGAGTCTTGATCCAATAGGAAATGATGAAATTATGAAAAAAGAAGACTATTTAGAAACTTTGCAGACCCAACATTGCGACTTTGGTGACAAATACGCGTATTCTGAAAATGAGACCACATTACAATATTGTTGGAGAAAGCCCGGAGAGTCGATGCAAAAAGCTCACGTCCAGGATACAGTGAAACACTCGGACATGACCTGGTCTGAGGCTGTTTTACTTAGTGGAGTCTTGATCCAATAAAAATTGATGAAATTATGAAAAAAGAAGACTAGTTAAAAACTTTGCAGACCCAACATTGCGACTTTGGTGACAAATACGCGTATTCTGAAAATGAGACCACATTACAATATACAATATACTAGTTGTTTGTGTTTATAATTTTTTTACGTTAAGATTTAAATGATTATGTCTTGTTTTGTACATGGATTTGTTAAGATATACTTATATTGAGAGAATAACCAGAAAAAATTTGGATTCAGTTGCTTCGATACTAACTTTTTTAGGCGGACCAACACTCAATGGCTGCAAACATGTACTCATTTTTGCACGCCACTGCATGTATATTTATTTATTTCCACCGACAAACAATGCAGTCGATGTACATAAAAAAATCAATACAATACAATAGAGAACTTAAACTTAGTAAAACTAAAGAAATAAAAAAGCATATAAAAATGACAAAAATATCTAATAACGAATCCGACACGGTGGGGGATTTTTAATTGCCAAAGGCCAGCTATGCCCCGATTCACAGCAGAGAGTAGTCAGATACGTTATTAGACGTATCAAAAAAGAAGTGGAGATGAAAAAATATAGCAACAAAAGATAGAAGAAAACAAAATAAAATTAAAATACTTAAATAATAAAAGATAAAATATAATCAAAAATTAAAGTTGAAGAATCACTGACCCGTTGGGGGAACATTTATTAGCCAGTCCGGGAAGCTATTCCCCCTACTCACAGCAGTGGTGATCAGTGATTCTGTCGGAGGTAGCTGAAAATAGAAGATTTTAGTGAGGAGAGAGAGAGAGCTCACTTGAGATTAAAAAGTCAAAAGTATTATAATTAACGCATAATACTCGAAAAGGATTGTGCATGGGGTAATCACTAGTGCATCTGTTAAGTTGAAGAGGCAGAAAGTTCCTTGTTGGCCTAGAAGGAACCGAAAAATTGATACGGCCTAAAAGCATAGAGGAATCAACATCTCCGACAATCAATTTGTGGAGGAACAGAACAAGAAGTATTCTACGGTGAGCTTCCTACTGGAGTAGGAAGGTAATCGTAGATTTAGATCCCAGTTTAGACCACGAAGAGCAAAAAGAAATTTCTGTTTCTGAACCGATCCTGATACAATTTATACTGAGGACACCAAACACATGAGCAGTATTCTAGCACTGGCCGTACTAGAGAACTGTACAGTAACTTGGTGGTGTAGGGGTCGTTAAATTCTCTGGACCAACGTTTAATAAAACCAAGAACACCCTTAGCTTTGTTAACGATAGTGGAGATGTGAAGATTGAAATTCAATGATCAATGTGATCAAAAAGAACTACAAGATCTTCAACTGTAAATATACAGTGCAATGGTATATTGTCAATCGCATAAGTACCTAGTCTGGACGAGAATGATAAAGTGGGTCTTTATACGAAAAAATTAGCTTCACATCATCGGCATACACTTTTATTTGATCAACATTGTGGTTTTCTTGTAACGGTCTTTTTTAATGACGTTCTGCTTGGGACTGGAAAAATCGATTGACACCAGCGAATCTCGTGCCAACTACTGAATCTTGCTAGAGCGACAGGACGTTCGAGCTGGATATATAAATATATTTTCTGTTATAACAGGTAATGATAACGTCCTCCGGGACGCAACATGGTCCTTCGAAGACAACAGAACGGCCATTGGATTGGATTACGTAACATAGTGCTAAGAAGCCAACAGAACGGAACTTGGATTGCACAAAAGCGACGCTTGATTTGGTCAGAAATTCCTGGAAGTTGTGTATGATTGCTAAGCACGATCTCGGACATACACACATACTGAAATTCACACGTATACGTACATACTCACATGAACGACGACAATTGCGAGTGTATGTATATATTGAGTGTGTAACGGAGAAATCGACAGCAAAGCGCATTACAAAAATTAAAAGCTGTGGTATGCATGTACTGTTAGCTGCGCTTGAACAGACTCAAGCATAAAAGCTGTATATATACATGTTGTATAGTTGGTGATATTATTGGTGGGAACGATTGGATTGCGTGGAACATTGTGACGTCATACGCGTTCCAACAACAAGAAAAACCACAAAGCTGGAAAGGTTGCTTAGCAACATCAAGTTATGGACACGCCACGTCCAGACCCGAATATTGGCAAGCAGCATGGCACACTTACACAATTAGACGACTAAGGACACTGTAATGCCAAACAAACATTTACTATTGCCTGCATCTACTCCGAAAGGGGTAATCAAGCGAGATGTTGATGGTCAATCCCAGGAGCATAGCGTTCAACATTCTCATACAAATGAACAACAAGAAGATGGCGCCAACGAAACTCTTATGGATAGACAAACGATTCGACAAGATTTACTAACATTTTCTGGTGATCCAATGGTATGGCCTATGTTTTTCTCGGAATTTGAATGTAGCACTGGCGCATGTCGATTTACTAATTATGAGAATATTAATCGTTTGCGAAAGGCATCAGCAGGACGGGCTAGAGATTGTGTTCAGGCACTATTGGTGTTACCACCATGTTGAAATAATCATGAATATTTTGAAAGAACGATTTGGTGATTCTGATCATATCATAAGGCAGTTAATTGAGAAAGTCAAATGTTTCCCGGTAATTAAGGATGATAAATATGAAAGACTCATAACATTTTATGATTTAATTACGACCTTGATACACATCAGAGAACTGCAAAGCGTATGTTCGACCACCCGTGCTGAAAATTCAATAAAATCAGATCTTTGCTTGGCTGCAAACGAGCTCGAACGAGTTGAGTACTCTCAGCATTTTTCTTATGATCGAACTTGAACGAGCCATCGTTCTATTTTTATGAACAAGCACCGGTCTTGATTGATTTGCTTTCAAAAAGTTCAGACTCGGTCACTTCGAGTATTTTGTTCATTGCGAACGGGTACCAGCCTTGATTGGTTTGCTTTCAAACAGTTCAGGCTCGGTCACTTGGTTTAAGATGACTGGGTCCTGATCGAATCAAACCAGACTTTCGAAAATAAGCGTTTGATCGAACGAGTATAGCTCAGTATTGTTTG